GGGGGGGGGGGGGGGGGGGGGGGGCCTGGCTCAGGCACAAGGGTACAGACCCACCTGCTGAAGCACCCTTGTGCCTCAGCCAGCCTGCCCCCTGCACAAATAAACTGTCAGGCTAGGGACAGACATTCAAAAAGCCCGAGCCTGAATTGATTCAATCTTTGCAGGTTAGTCTAACCTGGCTAGGCTAAATCACTTTGTAACTGCACAGACATCCCCTCTGAACTGAAAAAATGCCAGCACATGCCTCCTGTGGCTCAGGCTAGAAACTGAGGGTGCTAGAAACTGGGGGTGCTAAAGCAGCCCTCCTTTCCCTTCCATAGTGCTCAGCTGAGGAGGGCATGGCCAGGCCCTGGCAGGACACTGTGATTACAGAAGGCCCCCCTCCCTTGAGCATTTATCATCTCTGTTGTCAGCATTTAGTACCCTATCAGAATACAAAGACTTATGCATTAATTCAAGCTCTTCCTAAACAGCTTTTTCCAAATGAAGGAATGCAGGGACATAACCATGTGAGCTGTTGATTAGCTCCAAAAAGCCCTAAGCAGACACTGTCCCATCTGCCTTACACAGCATTAGCTAGCATACCACATTCTGGCTATGGTTCGCGCTGTGGGAGAGAGGAGGAAGGGATCTCTGCTTAAGCAGCAAGTGGTGGGAGGTGGCGGGGGGGAGGCACAGAGAAGCTAGTGGACCCTGCTGTACCTGCAAGTCTCTGCTGGAGCTCCAGCCAGGGAGCACAGGGAGGAGGCCAGCCCTGCTGTGGAGCAGAGAGCCTCACCCAGCCCAGACAGCATGCTGGAATGCTGGGGGAATCTGATTTAAATTAAACCAGCAAAGGGTCTGGGACAGATACTGCATAAACTGGTTTGACCCAAATCAGTTAAGTCTGATACTACGTTCAACCAGGTTCATCTCAAACTGGTTTCAGCCATTTTCACACTGGTTTATGTGCACTGAATGTCTGTTCTGTAACAGGTTTAAATCAGTTTCCGATCACTTAAACTGGTTTGTGTATAACGTCTGTCCCTAGCCTAACACAATATGCTCCAGAGTTTTTTGATCCCAGGTGTATGTTCAAATGGTGCACCCAGAAGCAAAAAACTCCAGAGCAAAAAGCTCCTGATTTTATTCATACTATTCATTTTATTCAAAATTGCATGTGTAGACATGCCTACATTTGCATATCTAGGGCCCCCTCTACCCAATACAGATATCATGCAATTAACTGGTTAATTGTGCAATTACTTTAAGACCAGCTACATGCACAAAGGAGCTATCACACAATAAAAAGCTACAACCAGCTATAAAGTTAAACTTCAAAACTGTGTACTAACTTTAGCTGGTTGCTATTGAGCTTTCATTTACAGATGTAGCAGGGCCTCCCCTGCAGCTAGCGGCCGCATTGCATGCCACGATCCCCAACGCTCAGACATGCATGAAACTCCTGGCTCACTCTGTACAAGCAGCCAGGCCGAGAGTCCTGCAACTGATGCATCACCATCACCATGAGGCGCAACCAGGACTGGGAGCCCCGTCAATTATGGGGACTCTCAGTCCCAGCTGCATCTGGCCCCCACAGCTGTGAACCCTCTCAGTAAAGTGGGCTCTCAGCTATGGGGGCTCACTTTTTGCCAATGCAGGGGGAACCCACTATTTGTCTCCCCCTGTACCAGCAATAAGGTACAACTGGATCTAATGTACATTCCCACAATTGTGCCTCCTGCCATGCACATAGGAGGCACAATTGTGTGGATCATGCATGAAATCTAATTGTGTCTTTACCTGCACGTGTAGAGGGAGCCCAACAGTGCCATGGCCCCCTGGTTAAGAATCAATAACATGGAAGCTAGGATAATCCTAAAAATTTTTTTCCTGTGGGGCGCGGAGGCCGGGGGTGGCAGGAAGGGGGAAGAATCAAACCAAAACAAGAATGAAAAAGGTCATGGATTCAGTCAGGAAAAGCGAGGTTTCAGCCAACACTCACAAACAACCATTGTGGAAGTTCCAGTCTACCTGCTATAGCACTAATTGGGATTTTAGGAAACACTCCAGGACATACTGACTGTCTAACTATATCCTCCGTTAGATGCACCTGTGTTCCTAACTTCAGCCAACAGTAAGAAAATTGTGAGTGATCTTGGTACCATCCAGCAGCAGTTCAGAGTCCATAGCTTCATCCCTATAGAGACACAGTGACTCCAAGAGGATGTCCATCATTGTTTTACATACGAGGATGCCTATCATTGTTTTACACACCCAAACTCTTTACCTGACACTGAGGTTGTTAAGGTATGAAAAAACATTTCATAAACATGTTATTAAAAAAACAAACCTCCAAACCATAACAGCACTGGAAAAATTCAAAAAACAAACAAACAAGAAAAAACAAATTTACAAAACCTGTAACTTTCCCTTTTGTACAGTCTTATGTCTGAAAAAACAGAGCTGCCTTTTAGACATGGTTCCTATAGTTCTCTGCTTTAGGCCTATATCATAATTAGAGAACAATGTTGGTAACTTGCAGCCAACCTTAGCTAGGGAATTAGAGAAAAACATGGAATTCTAAAACAGGACTCTTAAGTAATATCATAACACCTGTCTCTAGCATTAGCACCTTTCCTCCTATATCAATACCATATTTCCTCATACACAACATGCCATGGAATAAGCTACACACCTTATTTATGAAAGGCAGAATAAAGAGGGAAGGGAGCTGGGGGTCAGAAATCTTTCCTTGTGGTAAATAATTGGGTAGCAGTAGCTAAGTAGCAGCACCCACTTGCCATTCTGTTCCCTGTGGATCATGGGCAGACTTTACTTTCAGTTTCCCCTGATAAGCAAGAGAAAATGCTCTTACCATATTCTTCACAGATAACGTACACTCTAATTTCCAGCAGTTGGTTTTTGGGAAGAAGGTACATGTTGTATGTGAAAAAATGCAGTATCCCCCCCCCTTTTTTTTTTAAAGTAAGATTGTGTTATTTAACGTTGTGACCTACTTTGGGATACTATTTTTATGGAAGACCAACCAAATAAGACCCCAGCCCCACAACAGTCTCCATTTCAGTGAATCCCCCTAACATAATCATTTGGGGCATTGACAGGCATAGGAAAAAAATTTAATAACACACTTTACTGGAAGCAGCAGCACATTACTTCTACCCAGCTCTGCAGCATCTGTATAGATCAGGCGCTTCAGCATGGCTTTTTGGCACTTTTAGTTAAAGTTGATTCAATCAGCTATTAGACAAAAGCACCAAAAAAGCCCCACTAAAGCACCTGATCCATACAGACATTGGAAAAGATAGGTGCAAGCAGCACCCTGCCACTTCTGGGCATGAGCTGGGCTCAGCACAGGAGCATGCTGAGTTTAAAGTGCGATTTTCGGGGGGGGGGGGGGGGGGGGGGGGGGGGT